GTACCACTATTGGTGGTAACTTGGTTACTTGGTGCAGTAAGAAGCAGGATGTTGTCTCTCGATCTAGTGTAAAGGCAGAGTATAGGGCTAGGGCTATGGCTCTTGGGGTAGGTGAGTTGCTATGGCCGAAAACCTCGATGACAGACTTGTGCCTTCCAGTGTCGCTTCCATTCTCACTTTACTGCGACAAGAAGTCTGCCATTAGTATATCAGCAAATTCCGTTCAGCATGACAGGGCTAAGTATATAGAGGTGGACCGTCACTTCATTCGAGAGAAGATCATCTCTGGTCAAATTTGCACTCCATTTGTCACAAGCTCTCAGTAGCTTGCAGACATTCTTATAAAAAGCGTCAGCAAGATTGTGTTTGAGAATGCATTGTCCAAGTTGGACGTTTCAGATATCCACGCACCAACTTAAGGGAGAGTGTTAGCATATATGATACCACGATTTATGGTATGACTTACCATAATAGCAGAGATTTGACTATGCATATGTTAACATATATGATAGCTACTATTTATGGAATGACTTACTATAATAGCAGAGATTTGACTATGCTATAGAATATGCCATAGAATATGCTTTAGAATTAAGTTGTGATTTGATTTAGATTTGATTTAGTTTCCTTTCTTGTAATATGAGCATGCGCTCATTTTATCTAGAAATACTAGAGCTGTGAATAAGTAATTCATATCATTCAAGCCTTTATCCAATTCTCTTCTTTCTCTTCTTTTTATATTTCTACTAAATGCACAAGGATAAGGGAGCGGGCAGATTGTATTTATCACAGAGAAAATACATTGAGAAGGTGCTGGAACGCTTCGGCATGCAAGTATCAAAGCTTGTGAGTACTCCACTGGTAGCCCACTTCAGACTTTAAGCAGGATTGTCACCACAGATTGAGGAAGAGGTGGAGCACAAATCTCGTGTTCCTTGTGCTAGTGCGGTTGGTAGCATATTGTATGCTATGGTGTCCATTAGGCCAAACATTTCACATGCAGTTCGTGTAGTGAGCAGATACTTGGATAAACCTGAGAAGGTTCATTGACAGGCTGTGAAATGGATATTGTAGTACTTATGAGGCACTACAGATGTGGGCTTAGTTTATGACAGAGGCAACGACACGTGTTGGAGGGTTGTTAGGTTTGTTGATTCAGAATTTCAGATTATACTACAGATCTTGATAGGAGGTCCCTAACACATTATGTCTTCACTTTTTGTGGGAGTATGTTCAGTTGGAAGGCAACTTTGCAGTCTACAATTGCATTGCCTTGAGGCGGAGATATGGAAGCCACAGAGGCGAAGGAAGCTATATGGCTGAAAGGTTTGGTTGGTGATTTGCGATACATCCGACTAAAAATCAGATGTTGCATTATAAGACCAAGCACATTGATATCAGGTTGCACTTCATCAGACATGTGATTGTACAGGGTGCTATTGGAGTGAGGAAGATTGGGATAACAACGAATCCGGCGAATATGATGACTAAGGTCATCCCTACTATTAAGTTCAAACATTGTCTAGACTTGATTGGTGTTTGCAATTGCTGAGGCCCTTAGGGGCATGTGGAGGCGGCGAAAGATTGGGACAGGCTGCACTTCATAGAGATATGATTGTACAGGGTGATATTGCAGTGAGGAAGATTGGGACAACAAAGAATCCGGCAAATATGATGACTAAGGTCATCACTACTATCAAGTTCAGACATTGTCTTGACTTGATTGGTGTTTGCAATTGCTGAATTCCTTAGGGGCATGTGAAGGCGGCGAAAGAAGTGGCCGGGATTGTGGAGCTAGGCAAAACTTGAGCCAAGGTGGAGATTTGTAATGTTGTGGCCTTAATTTTGTTTCAGATTGGGTCGCACGTGACTCGATTAACCCAAAAAGTGAGCTTGGGTTGGAATTATGGAAAAAAATTGACCCATTTTTTCGCTTGCGAGTCGTGGACCCTAATTAGTATTCTCTTGTAGCCCGATATATAAAGGCATTTAGGGTTTGGAGTGGCATAATGAGAAAACATTGAAAATTGCAGGAAAGAGAGAAAGAGAGTAAGAAATAGGGTTTGGGGCCCGAAACTTATAATCTTCTATTTTTTGCATAGTGAAACTTTTGGTGGATCTTCACGGTGGACATAGGCACTTGTGTCGAACCACGTAAATCTTCGTGTTCTTTGTGTGGCATGTTTACTTTTCTGTCATGATTTTTGTTTTGTTCTTGGTTCGCTGCGTTTGTCCTAACACAATTAATATGTGGCATATAATGATGATAAAAAATTCTTTACTATACATTAATTGGTCTACAAGTTTCTGAGTTTTGAGGAGGCGATCGAAGCGAGCACTCCCATACCATGAACTCACAAGAGACTGCTTCATCAGGCATTGTTAGTCTTGTTGCCATCTTCTATACTCTAAATTTAAAATACATGAGTCAGCTTGCACTGCTCACAGGAGATCCAACCACTAAACATGTATCAACCACCAAGGAAATTGAACAATTGACAACCAAGAATAGGAAACAGTTACAAACAAATGTGAGAAACTTAGTTTAGGTTGGCTAATTTTGGTGTCAAAACTGGGATTGATCTAGTTGTTTTTTTATTCTTATTTTGTGTCTTGATCATTGAAGCTGACCAACAAGTGCGTCAATATTGTTGATTTGAATGAAATCAATAAGAACAGATGTGAGTGTGAGGACACAAGGCACATCTAGTTGGGTTGGATTAGGACTCTGAAAATAAGTTTTAAAGTTAATTTTTTAAGGTTCAGAGAAGTCCAAGCAGTTGAAGATTTTTCCAACCAATCCAACTGCTCAGAGTAGTTTAGACCTGCAGAGTCCAACCGGTACGAGTGGTCTTGGTAGTTTGGTCCTGCACAGTCTAGCCGGTTGGTAATTTTTCCAATCGGTTGGACTTGTCCTGATACCTTCGGGACTGTATGTTTTACAACAAGATTTCAACTCCTTTTTCAACCAAACTACTTGAGACGTCCAATAGGATTTTACATCGATTTTTCAACTTATTTTTGGACTCTCTTTTCTATAAAAACTCCTCCTTTCACCAGCTCTACACTGATTTTAAGAGATACACATTAAGTCACCATTGTTAGAACTTTGAGTGAGTTTGTGAGAGAAAATCATCTTTGATTTTTCCGAGTATTTTTCTTTGTTTGTGAGCTAAGCCTTGGCTAAACCTTGAAAATATTAGTGCCATAATGCTTTTCAAATCCTTCTAGCCATTATCCTACTACAATAATTCTTGCTAAGAAGAACCCCATTTTGTGGGAAATCCACCTAGAAGGTAACGGGTTACTCCTACAGCACAACCTGGTACAATGCTCAAGGCTCTAAACTGAGTAGCAGGAGCATTCGTACTTCAATGACGAGGAGTTCCGACAGTTGATCGACCCATAAGACTCGGTTGTGGTTCTCGTCTTTTCATTTTTCAGCCACATCTTACTTCTCCCTTCGACCCATAAGACTCATCTGTGGTTCTCATCTTCCTATTTATCAGCCGCATCTTACTTCTCCCTCGACTCTATAAAAAGAATGAATAATGGAATTCTCTCTTACAGGAGAGAAAAGGTTTGGAATTCACACACAATATTTCACATGAGTGATACTAGAGTGATGTTCTTCGTCTGATCAACATCATACAGAGCTTCCTAAGGTTCATCCTGATTGAATGATTGATCAGTAGGATTTTGTTTTTTTCCTTCCACGTTCGTGATTGCAAGGAAAGTAATTCAATCACTACGAAGGGGACGGAGTGTTCGTGGAGCATTCGTGTTCTTCTAGCAACCCGTTTGCAAGAATTGAGGAATAAAACTGAAATCTGCATCAACTAGAGTCGCAAGACTCCAGCAATAAGTTCTTGGCAGAGTGTAGTGGGGGTGAGACTCAGACAGAGTGACATACTTTGCTTCAAGATAGTGGATTGTTTTGCCCGAGAAAGCTAGTCTCTGTGTTCTTTCCTCGTTGAGGTTTCCAAGTTAAAAATTCTGGTGTCATCTCTTGCTCTACTTTACTTCAATGTCAATATTTATTGTTATGTATGATTTATTTACGTTTTAATTCGGTAAAATTAAAATAATCTACAAATCAATCAAAAGAGCATGCTAGACCTGTTCACCCCCAGTAGGTTTTTAATCTGAGATCAAACCTCTCACACCACTTCCGCACCGCACAACTCACAACAAGCATGTAGTTTACATGCATATCTGGAGAGAGAGAGATAGAGCAAATTACTCTAAGATCCCAGGCCATTTCATGTAATAACTAACAAACATGTATCATATTCATGTCCCACGTCTACCTAAGGATGAAATATAGATACCATTGACCATAATAGATGCAAAAATGTCAAAATGAGAAAAGTTTTCATCAATTATGAAGATAAGGTAGCAAGCCGTGAATACTTATCCAAGAAAAAAGGTAGCAAGCAATGAATAACTTCATAGCATTCTTTAAACAGTAGCAACCAGTACATGCTCCATAAATTCATGGAAGAGGTTCCTTACTTACAGCCTTAAACACTAGACCACATTTAGAAGTGAACAAAACTAACTGGGAGTTGAGAGACGATTTGGCTAAGCAAGGAGATACTACATTAGTTTCTTTTAGAGGGAACACTTATTCCATAATATGGCGGATTGGGTTAAGACTTGTAGGGGCTTGGGTTTTCTAACCTTTCTTTGGGTGTTTTGATATCTTTTTGGGGGATTCCTCATCCTTCCTCCTTTTGTATAATACAAAAAAAATATATGAAAACTCGCAAAGATGGCTTGACTACCATGGTAATAAACTCCTACCTCAGCCTTCCAAGTTCTATGCAACATAATTTACATAAATCATTAATGAACCACAATCAATGCAACAGTTTATTGAAAGCAAAAATATTATTCAGTGAATGATAGTTTTTTAAACCTTGTTGATAAAGTTCAAAGGAAAACAAAAAGAGAGAGAGGAGAGAGAAACAATAAAGATGTATGCAGAACAAAAATACCTCTAATTGTTTCTTCCTCGGTGTACTTCTTGTCCCTACATTTTCACAAAAGAATAAAAAATAAGCTAGATTCACAAGCTGTATACGTTATACTGTCACTGTAATTGTCATCGTCATCATTATAAAGCCACTGCCTAGTATTTCTCCCAACAATGCAGGAGTGCTGGAAAGAGTTGATTGATTATAGACATATCCTCCAGCTGAATAAAGTGATAACCCACAAACTCAAACTTTTATTCTCTCTTGCAACCCATGAGAAAGTATCAAAAGCTGTATCAAAACTCGGCAAAGTAAACATCCATATATCTTAAAACAAAGAGGACCATAGAAACAAAAATTTGATAATCTGGAACTGTACAACACTTAGATTTTAGACAGAACAGTCATAAATACCCTTATATCCCCATCATTTCCATTAACATATCTAGAAAGCTGAAACACGAAAACAGGCACATCTTTTGGTGAATGCGTGAATATCTGTCCCCATGCCCCAGTTACCGACTATGTTTACTTCCACACATCTCGATGGGATAAGTTTCTCATCCAACATGCCATTTAACACTCTTAAGTTTCCTTCTCATTTGTTTCCACATAATTAATTGAGATCTACTGTAGGTAATGAACTATGTGCGTGACTACAATTTTTTTATTGATATAACCAAGTGTAATTAAACTCTATGAAGAAGTAGAAGCATTATCCAGTAACCAACAAATGAGAAAGAGAAAAAATTATGTAAAAAAAATACAAAGATTTATGATGCTCACTTAAAACCCAAAACCCCACTTAAAGAAAGAGTTAGTAAACAAGAGATTAAAGGAGCTTAGAATTTTCTTAAAATCAGAGCTCAAAAAAAAAAAAAAACATAAAGTCAGCCCATTATATAAATATTCAAGTTATAAAGAATATAAATCCTAATCACCAAATAATTCAAAACTCTAGGATGTTTCTTGCAAGTGACGCCCTACACCAGAACCTGGTTGCTGTGAGAAATGAATTCAATGTACTTAGGACCTTGGGCATCTCTTCAAAGTGATGTGTTTCATTGATAGCAGCGAGATGTAGGCATGGATTCCCGCATTAATTTCGAGTAGGAAAATAAAGTAAGCGTTAGTCACAAAGAATATAGAACCGTTGACTGACGTGATGAAGCTAGGAGGTATTTAGTTGAAAGGAGGTCAATAGTGCTTATCTATAGGAACTTAAGTGGGTAAGTGAAAATACAGAAGAGATTGACTATCTGGAATAGAAATGTTAGTTACATTTAAAAGGGCAACACGAAACATAAAGAGGAAAAATACTGTGCAAGAAGTGCCGACACAAAATAGCATACTTTGCAAATAGAACTTTGAAAAGTTTTGTGCAAACAAAGATTTCTATTAGAATATAGTTTTGTCAGCTCCATCAAGCACTGTTCTTTTTCTTCTTTTTTTCCCTCTTTTGGAGCAAACAAAACATCACAAGTTCCATTATAAATTACGGGTTATATGTAATGATAAAAAAATATATATATATGCATAATGGGGTTGCAGAATCCACATATTTGTTTAGTGCAACATGTGAGCTCATAAGCTTCGGAAGGAGGTTTTTAAGATTTATTAAGAAATTGAAAAAAGGTATTGAAGAGGTGGTGGCTGAGATTCTTTAAAGATGGTAAATTATATGCAAGATCATAGGCATTCACCATTTTAAATATATTTTTTTATATATAATATCTTTTTTTATAGGCAAGTATACTCACACTCACATGCCCCCACTAGGGCTTGAACCCTCAACCTCTCCTTTGTGAAGGTGGACATATCAATTGAACCAAGGCTTTGGTGGCAGTTTATATAAATTTTATGTTTCGATGAAATGAGCATTACAAGAGGATCTTGTCAAGCTGATCTCAAACGAGCTCTAACCGAGCCAATCTCAAGCTGAGCTGAAGTATGATCATGCTTGGCTTGGGTCATTTCTCTCTCAAGATTATCTCAAACAAGGATCTAACTGAGCCAAGCATAAGTAGCTATTATTGAGTGAAATTCCCAGCATGTACCGAAGCCTCCAACAAACAAAAATAAAATAGTTTAAAAAAAAAAAAAAGAAAGAAAAAGAAAAAGAAAAGAAAAGAAAGAAAGATCTTAGAGGTCCAATTTCAAAGAGGCACTGAAGAGATTTCATGATATTTTTTATACTATTAAAGTCCAATCTGAATCATACTATGTTACTCGCTAAATTTATGAACTGTGTACTTTTAAACAAGAAAATAATCATTCTGTAGGCACGAAAAATGGCATATATATATATATATAGAGAGAGAGAGAGAGAGAGAGAGAGAGAGAGATTACCAGCTTTCCCTCCTTCGGTCACTTTCCCCTTTTTCCTGGGTCCCTCAGCCTGCAGCAAGACCACTTAGCACATAGAAACATGCATCTAAGCCTAAAACAAGTAAATCAAACAAATATGGTTCCCAAAATGTCTCCCCTCATGAGGTCATTATTACAAGAAGTGAAGACGAATTATATTCAAATTAAAATTCGGGAAAAAATAAAATTAAAAGACTAAAAGAAGATCTCACTTTAACTTCACCAATCTTCCGTTTAGAATCAGCACGCCGCGTATTCTGGCCAGAAACTGGAAGACACCAATATATTCTTGCTGCTTTGAGTATTCCTATTTTATAATAAGAAAAGTAATTTGGAAAAGCACAAACCTTTTGATGACGGGGACTTCTTTAGATTTCTTGGCGCCTTCTGGAAATAGAAAAGCTTCATTAGAAATTCTAAAGATCAGCAACTGACATTTTTCTTAGTAGTATAACAGAATCCATCCTTATGATAAAGTATAACTTGGAATTCCAGTGAAATATTTATCATGAGATGCGCAGATATCTAATGCACTTTGGACAGGCATGGAGCACAGAATCTGCTGATACACCAGGACAATACTTGACCGAGTCAGGTGACCCCAACCATATGGTTCAAACTAAAGGGGATATTGATGCACCCAGTATCACTGTTGAAGGGTTGTTTGACATTGGACAAAAATAGAATACAGTTGCATATACATTTAGTTGTTAAGAGTATTATTAAGAGTTTTTCTAAGAATATTGCTGCATTTCTTTCTTTTGAAATTTATTTAGTGTTTTAAGAATGCATTTTAGGTCTTATACTATAACCATGTAGTGCAGTCTTAATTTTAGGTGATTAAGTTCGGGTAGGTTTTGCGAGCCCTATAGAATAGATCTCTCGGGGAAAACAAATTCTGCATTAAGATGGAACAATATTGGATGAATATGTAGTAGAACTTTGAAGTTTGGCCTCTCTCTTTCCCTCCTACCTTGTAGTGGAGAGGGTAGTGAGTCTAGTGACTATTAGACCTTGAAATGAAGCAGGTTTGACCTGAGATCCACTCTGATCCGAAGTCCATTTTAAATGGTTTGGATCATTGAAAGATCCATCACTAATTCGAGTTGGGCATGATCTAGGCAACCCTTAAATGGACCAGATTTTGCCCAAGACCCAACCCAAATTTAATATATTTCTCTATTCAGACCCTGTATAAATTACATGGGCTAGATATAAATCATGTCCTTAAGCTTAATTCAAATATGGATATAGATCCTAACAATAAATTATGAATTCGAACCTACGTTTACATTAATATACTCCAGATTCACTCCATTTCAGGCCATAATCACTATTGCACGCACCCTCTCATCCATTTGCTCCTCTTCTCTCTTTTCCCTCTTCTTTGATAGTGCAAAAGAGGCTTAAAAGACGCAAAACACACACCCTCTCTCTCTCTCATACAATATAATAAATCAGCAGAACTTATTCACCTACCATGTGTTTGAAAATTTTGTTTAAGAACCAAGTTACGCATTTCAGTTCAATTCCGACACATTGCATGGCCCAATCCTATGGCATGACAGTTATTGAATAACATATTATTAAAAATGACACCACTACCATGTCCACTTAACATAGAGATCAAAAAAAACTAAATGCAGTTCAAGTAGCAATATTAAAACTGCAAGGTGACAAAAAGGCAAGATGTGGAGCATCCTTATCACTTTTAACACAGAGCCAGTAAATATACTAAGAAAATAGTAACAGGATACTCCTAATCCTATAGCCAACCTTATCAATGCACTGCCATTCAGAAACTTCCTTTTAGACTTACCAATACGGTGCATGAGATCTCATATACTAATAAGCATGGGCTGAAGAATCCTACACTACTAAATTCAACTTCCACAGTTCCAAAATGATTACAAATTGGGGAGTATGTTATAAAATTAGACATCAAATTTTTGTTTTAAAGTTTCATAAGTTTTCGCTATTACTTTTTTTTTTTTTCATAAAGTAAAAATTCATTAAAGGCGCTCAAAAGGGGAGCGATCCCAAAAGAAAACACAAGCCGCGACGCTACAACTTTAAGCTATCCAAAAAATCCAAAAGACTTCTTATTAAGAAAAAAAAAAATGGTAGCTACAAAAAAACATTGCCAAGATTTTAAATTAGGGAAAAGTTAATTCTGAATCCTAATTGCAACACATGGCAATAGGAAGTCTTTAAAGAATTTCGTGGTCAATCACAGAGCAACTCTACGGAAGGTTATATAATTCACTGGGAAGTTCAGAAGGAAAAGAATCTCATGGAATTTTAAGGCAAATCCTGGGACAATACAGGAAAAATAATGATATTAGTAATTATGTCATTCTCAATCCCAAATGTATTCACTTTTTCTGCCAAATTTTTAGTTGGATGAGGTTGGGGACTTAAGGCTGGTCTACACATTTAGATCATGAAAACAAAACAAAAGTATATATAAAAAACAAAAGGCTATGTCTACAGTTTTGTTTTATTGTAATTCCAATGAATGACTGTAATTTGTTCAGAGGAAATTTCTCACATTTAGTTGATGATGATGCTAGCATAAAGAGAATTCATTCCTCTTATCTTGTGCACATTAATGAATTGTGCCATATGTATTTTGGGGAACGAAAAACGGTATCAAAGCACTAGGTTAAGGGCAAAGTTGGGGTGCACATAGAAAAACATCGGGACCTCAACTGTGTTGTACTAAGCTCATCCACTTCTTGATTAATTCACGAATATTTGTGTGGTTAGTTGTTGAATTTTGAGACCATTTGATTGAATCAATCCTTCTACTAACAGCTTCAAGTCCGATAGTACTGACTGCACATATCCTTCCAACGACAGTTTCAGGTTGTATACGATTACATCCACCTGTATCCTTACTAGAAACTTTTGGTGATAGCTCCATGCTATGCTAGTACAAATCTTTCAAGTGACATCTTCATGTTGTGTTTGACATCAAGAGTAGTAACTTCTATGTAATTGCATTGTTCATATCCTGGAGTGACAGCAGATTGGATATGACAGGTTTACAGAGTACTGAACATTCCAGCATCAGTTTCTCATGCACTAGGTGCAATGACCCTTCTAGAGACAGCTTCAAGTTGGGTTTGGCCTCTAGGAAGCATTTAGTACATCATGAGATCATGCATTTACAGTCATGTTAATTTTAGTCGTGCACGAGCATAGCACTCATGTAACCATCTACAAATTAAATTAGTTGTGTGGTACAAAACATTCATATTAATTGTTGTGCGTCCATGAATCATAGACATGAATTGCTTGTAATATATCATATGCTACATAGACATCTAATTGCAAACATTGTGAGCTGGATAAACTTGAGATTTTACAATCACAGTGTAAACCTCTAAATGAATAAACAAGTTTTTTTCTTTAAAGTAATAAATAAACAAGTTAACATACTATTGACAAACTAGTTAATTTCAAATCCCATACAATAACTTATATACTAATTCCAAACAAAGGCAACTTATTCTGATAAAACTGTTGTGTTAACATTGCACATAGCAGGTTGGGACTTTCATGGATATATGCTGAGCATACCATTAGAAGTTGGGACTTTCATGGATATATGCTGAGCATACCATTAGAACTTTGATCCCCTACTTTGCAAAAACTGATGGAAAAGCTATAAAGACTATTAGGTAACTTTTAAATTTATGTATGCTTTTGTGGATACGCATAAGAGTGAATGGTAACCATAATAAATAGATGTATCGAGAGAGAACAGTATCCGCTAACTGAATTTCTTCTTGAACTACTTTGAAGTGATCAGACTAGAGGTTGCAAGATGTTACCTTTTCCTCCACCTTCTTAAACAATGTAGATATAGTAGCTTGGACAAGAGAAGTATGATTTGTGTGAGAGTGTTCCTCAGATTTTGTCACTGACATAGCAGATTTTTGAACTTGTCCTGAATTATGAGTTAGCATTGAAGCATCCTCATTGTCAATTTCAACTAGAGAACAAGAATTTTCAGTCTGTATATACTGTTTTAAGGGAATCAACATAGAGTAAGTGCGAAAGAAGACTTATATGCGAATGATTACGCTTTAAGAATCAAATATTGCTGGAGCCACAAAAGTTGAGAAAATAAACTAATAGTGAATGAATTAACTAGTCTAAGTAATTATGAAATATAAGCAGGATATTTCCAGGAGAATAGTTCCTCATTGGATGCCCCACATCAACTTTATCTTCCTCTCCTTCGGTCGTGTCAGCATCGGTTTCAACAGAGTCATCTCCAGAAGAAACTTCTGCAAACCTGAACAAAGAAAAGAGATTGAGAAAACTTAACCACTGTGTTAGATTTAGTGTCCACAATGTTGGCAAATTTCGTAACAAAAGGCTTATGTGGTAAATGTCTTAATTTTTGAGTGTATGAGTGTCAAGTGAGTTAAAAAGTGCAAAGACAGCATGTTCAAGCCACATGAAGGATTTTCTGCAAGGACGTGGTCATTGAAACTACCTGAGTACTCACACTAGGACCTTTTGCATTTTGGATACTTGAGTTTGTTTAAATATGTTTTTGAAACATGTTTGGAATGATTTTGAATGCTAAAAGGTGCTTTGAAAGCCACTTAAAAAATGCAGTGAAGTAGCACTAGTACTAGTTAAATTACCACAGGTACTGCTTACTCCAGTAACTTAAGCTTGCTTCCATTTTGGTTAGCACCGGTACTACTTAGGGCAGAACATTAGCACCGGTATTAAAATGTTTCTGCACCGGTATTAAATTTTCAGTGAATCAAATAATTTTTTTCATGGAATCCTAACTAACTTAGGATTGGTACAGCTTATTCCAGTAGATTTAGCATTAGCACCAGCACTTGTAGGTTTAGCACCAGTACTAATCTAGCCTAGCACTGGTACTACTTACACCTGTTTGCAATAGGATTCTGATTTGAATGGGATTTAAACTGAATATGATTGAATGACTTTGGCATGACTTTTATAACTATTTTAGGAGTCTTTTAAGTCTATTTCAATTATTAAGAGACATGTGCACGCATCATGTCATATACTTTTGATACACTTGAGTTTTAACGTCAGATTCAAGTGACATTTTACACGGTTTTAGAACTAAGAGTCATTATTTTCTGTGAGTATTTTGTGAGTGATTTTAGATATTCACACACATAATCTGGCGTAGGTATTCCCGATTGTTTCTTGGTCGTGATCAAGCATCAGTGGAAAACAACACGCAGCAGTTTCCATTGCTCTCAGCAAAACAACTTGTAGATTATCTTCTCTAATAAGTGTAAGAAGTAAGAACGATCACTGAGGAAAGAAATGGAGTGCTGAAGAATTAATTGTATGATGTGGGAAGCGGGCTAATGATTCTGAAAGCACTGGGATTTGGACTAGCTATCAATGTTGTACGTCAAAGGTAAATCAATGAGAGTGATTCCAAAAGTACTGGGATCTAGACTCTAGGTATCATTGCACTCTTTCTTTGGCTTAATGGACTGGCTTGAGACGGAAGTCTCCATGGTTTTTCCTGTTTGGATTTTCCACATAAAAACTCTAGTGCTGTTAGGTCAATAGGACTAAGTTGGATCAAAACATCAAATTATGTAAATATGTTTTAATTTCTAGTTTAGTTAGAAAGTGTCAAGAGTGCGTTTAGTGTTAGTTACTCCTAAAGTTGAAGATGGAATACATGCTACATCAAAAGTCAAAATTGTAATCTTCATCAACAAGGGTAAAAAGTAATCTCACACTATGATGCACTCTCACCAACTAGGTACATACATTGCATATTAATGGTTTCTAAATTTCAAAGTTTCTAACTTATTTGATTACAAATATGTTTAAGAATGGTATTGTTTTGAAACTTGGAAATCGCCGTAATTAAAATTTTAAAAGTGTAAAATATGCAGAAGGTTTGATCCATCAAGGTATCGATCGAAGTTTCCTGAAGTAATGTCAATCAATTGGGATGTTTGTCTCGTTCGATTGAGCAACTCAAAACAGCATTTCCTAAAAGGATTTAACCTGTTTGAAAATCCTATTTTAACTTCATCTCTTATCTTTCTATAATACATATATTCTAGATAGACCTAGACTTAACACAATACATGAATTTTATCTCTCTATGCATTAGATAGACACTTTTTTGTTCAGAGAAAAATCTTTATGAGATTTGTCTGCATCTTTATTAACATTCTTCATCATGTTTAGTGTTGGTGAGTTTTCATACATGCGTTAATATTTCTGCTGTTGCTCACTCTCAAGCCTATTCAACAGATCTAATCAATCCACAACCAGATTGATATCCGGACAACTAATGGCAGAGACCTATCTACTATAGAAGCAAGTCCGCGAGGAGCAAATGCTGTAGACGAGCAGAAGAACACCCTGGAGACTTTCAAGGGTGACTGGAAGTTTAGTATTCATGTGTGTTTGGAGGTAACTAGGGGTTCGAGGGTACTGAATTATTAACCTAGGTTGTAAATCTCTTTCTTGATCTGGTTTCATAACTGTGAATCACTAGTTGGTTCTGTTAGTGCCACTCTCACATTGAACCTAGAGCAACAATGAACTAATTTATGCCAGAGAGGACATCAATAGTCAGTTAGTGGATAGGAAGGAAGTAATTATCTGGATGAGCAACAACAGAGTAATTTCAAATGAATGTGTATAGACAACCTAGTTTCAGTGTTATCTGGATGAGCACCATCCTTACTCATCACATTAATTAGAAAAAAAAGGAAAGGGAAGTCAAAGGAACAAAACACTAAATGTGTATCCTAGTCACAGCACTATATCATCATAGTATACTTATTTACGACTTTTTATACCTAATTCTAGACGGATGCAACACATTGGGGCTTTCAACAGTCCATACATAAAATGAATGCATGCATATAATTTCTTTATGAGATGAATATGGACAGTGCTTTAAAAACATAAGCTTGCTGAAAATAAAAGCCACAGATGTAATACAGAGTACTAAGATTTTATTAGTCAATGTTAGAAAATCAAGCAATATGAAAAGTCTGAATTTGCTGAAAATACAAGCCACGGATGTAATACAAAGTACTCAGATTTTATTAGTCAATGTTAGAAAATCAAGCAAAATGAAATGTCAGCATATATGTATTTCTGTATTAGAAATTTGGTCAACTCAATTCAATTCACAAAGCCTTTTCCAAGTATGTGGAGACAAAATAAATATGATGCAGCCAATAAAATGCAGGAATTATTGACAAAATAATGAATTCCTCCCAAGTGCTGCACAACGAGACGAATTAATTATTATCTCCAGAGAAGATTTTTCAACACAGCCCCACAACGAGCTGACTAACCAAAATAATTCAATTCACCAAATCAAGTAAAATACATATTCAACAGAAAATCAGCTTATACAAAAATAAAATGACACAATATCATTTGGCAATAGGATTAAGCGTCTTCAAATTAGCAGGGCCAATTATATAAAGTATAAAAGGTAATGGAAGTACTTGAATGTTTTTCCAGCACTTCTCTTCGATTGTCGAGTTGGTGTCACTTCAATGGAATCCTTCACATTATTTTGTCCATCAGATAAATCATTTTCTACCTCAGCTTTAGGAGACTGTTGTACTACAGATCTATTTACAGATTTGCTAACACCTTTAATGCTTTCAGCTGCTGCCCCCCCTGCACCACCTTTAAAATCAAACTCCACAGGTTGTCCCTGGAACAACAAGACACTGAGAAGGATGTCCAAAATATTTTCCAGAAATAGTCGGGGATAAACTTATAACTTTAACATACTGACAGGCTGGCAGCTACTTTTTGGAAACTAACCTCATTCAGCTCCTTGGGAAACTCAAGACGGACTTCTTCAGGATTCTCTTCTTTCCTCCCAATCCACCATGCATCAGAAAATACAATCTACAAATCAAGAATATGATTATGACAAATTATATGATTGACATGCCAAAAACTAAGAATGAAAAAGTTATATGAAAAAAAGGTTTGTATAGAAGTGCTTGTAAATCGTTGATTGTCCCTTGGGATAGGGGTGGGGAGTAATAAAAGGAATAAAAGATTATATGTCAGCGTCACATGTTCTCAAACTATCAGAACCAGATTGTAAGCCGTGAATGTAAACAATGTTTGAGACCTGAACAAGAACAGTAGGGCTATATAAGAAACAGATTTTTTTTTCTTTTATTGAGATAAGTAAAGCTATAAGAAATCAAAATAATAATAATAATAATAACACCACCTTTATAAAGGACTTGTAAAAAAAAATTAAAAATTAAGAAAAAAAAAAAAAAAATCCCCTTTATAAACCAGAAAGTCAAAAAATTAAAATAGAAACAGTACTAAATATATGGATAACATGACAAACACTCGCAATTAAATCATATAATCTTTCAATTCACCCAAATAAAATATGGGAATGGTGCTCAAAAGGGTCAATCACTTATCAGTATACTTTGCAAGTTACAAGCCCTTTCATTACTATTTTCAATGTATAACATTTAAGTTCCCTAATTTATGAAGTTGTCTATCTAAGAAAAGTTCTGAAAAATATAAATAAATAAATAAAATTAAAATTCAACATTTATTGGATTTGATATCTGCTTTTCTCTTGTACGAAATGAGAAATTCTTCTAATTACAATTACCTTTGCTCAAGCATATACACTCCACTCTTTTTCCTCTAATCAGTAAGTCCCTCAGGAAAAAATAAATAAATAAATAAATTACAGATCCAAATGAATATTAGTTCAATAATACTACACTGATAAAATTCACATATGTTGGCTACTTCAGTAAAAGAGAAAGGCATGAAGATTTTTATAAGAGAAATCAAAAACCTTCAACGAAGAAAGTATGAATTGGATCTTATAATTCAGCACCAACTTATACCTATTCCAGTGATTAACAAATTGGTGTTGGAGTTAAATTAAAATATTCTTTAAAAAAATTCAGAATTGCTCTTACAATAATAAAATCTAGATTGCTACACTGGCAACTTGAGATCTATATAGTGATGTATGTCCCTTACTTCCAATCCACTTAAATGCATTTAAAGGAAAAGCATGTCAATCGTCCATCTCATCATCTTCATCCTTACCTTTTTCTCTACTAAATGTAAGATTGGGAATTTTACAAACAAGAAGCTCAGCAGAAGTTGCTTTGCATAATGTCTTACTCTGGATGAGTTTTGTAGGTCATCTGATTATTTGCTTCTGGGGATACATACTAGAATGCAGATTTATGCCAAAATCACATCTGGAAGACTCTAAGACAGCTTCTTCACTCCCTTATAATGGAATAGATCTTGTCATTGGTCGGAAAACAATAAAATCTACTTAAATATCCAGGTCATTGATCTTTTGAAAAAATATTCAAGAGTTTACAACTGTATTATTAGCCAATTTCGATCTTGGCAAGAAGTTTAAAACTGTTGACCTTTCATCAATTTTCTTCTTAACCAATTTCAAGATTGGCACAAATTTCTTCTCTTTTCTTGATAAGTAAAGAGTGTTCCACTAAATGCACCAAAATGAGGGCACAACCATGTACACAGGAAGTATACAACTCTACAAAAAATCAACCAAAAAAATATTATAACCACAAAATCTCTACTGAGAAACAACAAAAAATAATATAAAGATTCTCAGAGCCAAAAGTAAATTGTCCTCAATAACTTTTGTTTCGATCTATATAGACAAACCTCCTTCCTTCCAAAAATCATCCTATTGCTTTCCCGCCAAATGTTTCACATCAAGCAAGGAGGTGCAACATCCCATAACTTCCTAACTTTCCACCCTCCTAAAACCACCTGTCCAGCGTTTAAAAAGTTCTGCCAGTAACCATGGCATAATCCATGTATACCTGGACAAGTCAAAAGAGGAGACCCCACAACTCCCTCACCACACCCTTTTGCTCCGTTACACATACATAACCTGTTTGCCAACAACCAATATCCTCTCATAAGACTACCTGTAGTAAGAATGGCCTCAAAGCTCTTGAAAAGCAAAAAAAGCCACCTTGAGAGGGGCCTTTCTGTGCCAGAAATATTTCTATGGGATGTCAGGGACTCAGGCCCTATGCAAGGCCTCGTGAAAAGATCAAACACTAAGATCTCATCTTTAGTCGTTGCCCCTCTAATCACATCCTCAAACTCACTAAACGGCCTTGTCTCTTGCAACCTGCCTAGAAGAGCTGTCATTGAGTCCAATATTTTGAGAACAACCAGCAGATGAAACATCACTAGTTCACAGCTATTTGTGGAAATTATTGATCTGATTGATGTTTCCATCCATCACAACTGAAGAAAAGCAAATTGCCAGAAAGTGATCATGTTAACATGGATATCAGTGGGATGGTGATTCTAGGAGAAGAGTCTGAACTGATTGAATAACATTGTTTGTCAGATCTAATTCAACGTGATGGTGATTTTGAAATTAGAAATCTATAACTGGTTGGGACTCGTATTCTTATCCATAGTGTATTGTTGATCTGGGGTACCCCAGGCATGTGTAATAGATGTCTCCCCTTACCTCTCTATACCCACCCCTTCTGCAACTCAGGCATTAATATTTAGCGCTCATCTGTCACTCTATCAGCTACATCATTCTACGCCACCACTCCTCTGACATTAGTGACTTCTCATCTCGGCCGATAAGCAAAGCCACCGCCAGACACAACTCCACCAACACCCGATAACTCACCCTATCATCTTACACCATCACAAACATCAGTATTTCCCCTCCCCCTTTAACCGTGATGATTACCTTTTCCATATCCACCATCTCATCAGCTTCCACACCCTTAAAGCCCCCACACAAATCTCCGATAGCCACAAACAATTGATGGCACCACGAGTTTAGCAGTAAGCCATACGAGAGAATGTGTCGTTCCTTTCTCTTCCTCAATATACCAGAACAACCCGGTTTGAACGACCCTACATCAAGTTTTACAATGGCCCCTCCCCAATCTCGTTTCCCCTGCTTTAAAACTCTATCGGCCTCCTTTTGAGATGGTAGCCGGAAAAGAAGTAGCAAGTCTGGCAATGGAGTCACTCCCATGTCACTTTTCATACCTTCAAAGCATACCCTTCTATCTTTTCCAAGCTCCCCACTTCTCTGTTGAAGCGACCAACAAGGCAGGATTGCAGAACCTCTCTCCTCCTCGAACACTTCGATCATCCACTTTGAATGTATGCCGCCTTCTTGACGACAGTGTCATGATCTGACCGGCAGTGGGGATGCAAGGCATTCTCGCCACCTCCAAAAAGCATCATCTTGCTTCTCTTGCCAAATATTTTCTGCACTCTATCAATTTTTACTTGCTTGACTAATTAAAATTTAAATTTCATTTATTTAAATTAGGAATAGTTAAAGTTTGAATTTCTTTTAAAAAGGAGTTAATTTAAATTTAAGACCTATTAATCCTCCCTCTAGGTCTAGCTAACGATTTAGCAGACTCAAGCCTATGGTGTCGTTCCTATCCCTCGTACCAGTAGTTCTTTTCCCTATGAAGGGTTTTCAACGTATATATAATATTCTCCATTCTCTCTATGCTTTATATTCATGTGTCCTTGATTACTTTGGCTTATAGATAGCTTGCATTGGTTGGTTTAATTATGTTTTAGATTTAAAATTTGGCAAGACCAATCAAAGTTAATTGAAAGACATTCACAAAACACTCCCCAAGCTTATTTCCATCAATGAATTCAACTAGTACAACTCTCACAAAAAATCTCTAACAACCATAGAGTTGCCTAAATTCTGAAATTAAAACCTATTTGTAATGAAGAACTTTTACAACATCAGTCATGCATTGAAATCACATAAACGATCAATTTACTTAAACCCCATGATATACAGTAACCTTGAGATGCACCAACATCGATTCCTTAGCGGATGAAGTAACAAAACCTCATTGTTTTATGCACAAACAATGGCAGACATTCCCTACATTTTTAGGCCATATATCTGTCAATCTTCTACATTGTAATCGGCATACGTAATAGTTAGAATTTAGGACCATCAAATGATGAGTTGATTGATAAAATTTCACCAAAAAAATAAAAATAAAAACAAATAAATAAAAAATTAAGGTTGAAATGTTGCCCCTTCATTATTCCATTGCTCTAGATAGAGAGTGATCTTAGTTGTACTCGTGCAAAGAATCCCTCAGCTGGGTCAAGACTTGTTTAACAATGGATGGAGGCACGTATTAAATGGCTCTAGTTCAAGAAGCTCAGAGATCTAATAGGTCTGTAAACAGCTTTATCAAAGAGAAAAAATGAAAATAAAAATACCAACCATGGTATCAAAGTAATCCTCGCACATGACATTCTTCCCACCTCTAGAGAACTGCAGGGTCAAGTACCTGTTCTTTGGATAAACAATAGTCCCAAACAACTTCATTTGGCCCTAAAAATTCCAACAAAAAAATCACTAAGTTACACTTCAGAAATTGAATTATAAATCTCAATTCTCAATTTGGGTCACTGAGAAATGATGAATGAAATTCAAAATCTCCAGTTCTCCATTAATTTTCTTTCAAAACTGCGTGTAAGTTCAATTAAAATGAAGCATTAGTTTTTCCATTTCTTTGAGTCAATTAATTGAGTGATTGGTAAAGGCAAGTAACCAAACCTGAGGGAAATGGAGATAGAGGATAGGGTTTTTGGTCCCGAGATCCTTGAGCTCGCCTATCTTGCCGCCGGAGATGGGAGCGAGAAGGCCGGGGAAGGAGAAGAGGAATTTGTTCTTGCGCTGAGACTTCCTCAGTATGTCTCTGCCGTGGTGTTTGGTCACAGTCTTCGACGGCCTCAGAGTTGAACAAGCCCTCGCCGGAGCTTCCGACAGTATGTTCTTCGAGAGTGCCAGTTTCTTCAGTCTTCTTCGCTCTTCTCCTTCTGGATTTGCTTCTCTATTCCCCACTTCTTTCTTTCCACCTCGAACCATTTTCTCTCTCTCCTCTAGGTGTTTTTTTTTTGCCTTGGAAATGGAATGGAATCACAGGCGGGAAGAAACAAGCAAATTTATAGTAATGCTTTCCTGCGCCCAAATATGGTCTCTCTTAGACCCAAAATGGACTCTCTTTCTTTTTCTTTTTCTTTTTCTTTTTTGGTTCAGACATATAAGACCTTACTTGTTTGTACAAAAAAAATAAAAAATAAAAATAAAAAAAATTTAAATTAAATTTAAATTAAATTTGTATGGTTCATTTCCTGAGAACTAAATTTGTTTGGTTTATTTCCTGAGAACTAAATTTGTTTGGTTCATTTTCTGGGAACTGTTTTTTATGAAATCTCAGTAGGGAAGAAGCTGATTAGAAAACTTTCTTTTATAGTGCTCTAAATACAATTTTATGTTAAAAATTATTTTCAGAGTTATAAACCAAGCAAGCTCTAACTTTCATAATGCTTCACCAGACTCTCTTAGATCCAATATGGACTTTATTTAAAATCTTTTTCTTTTTTGTTGCTGGCAAATTTTCACAATGATTCACCATGGTTCTTGGTTCTGGTAGATACATATTTTGTTTTGGAGGGAGAAAAGCCACCATTAAGTAATAGGCTTGATGGTACATACTGTAACGGGTGGGCGTTTGCCCATTTATCAAAAAGTTCGAACTATTGAATAATACTGCATACCCACCCATTTATATCCAATCACTTTCCCATCCGATTCTAATGTGGGATAAATGACCCTTGTTACATTCTCCCCCACCCAAACTCACAATGCCGTCGTTGCGGTTCAGGCCATCCTGCCTACCCGGGGTGCTAACCCGGACGTCTTCCGGACCGGGCGCTTGGCATGACACCGGATCAAGAATTGGGTTTGGCTCTGATACCAACTGTAACGGGTGGGCGGTTGCCCATTTACCTAAAAGCTCGAACTATTAGATAGTGCTACATACTCACCCATTTATACCCAATCACTTTCCCATCCGATTCTAATGTGGGACAAATGACCCTTGTTACACATACCTACTAAGGAGTATATGAAATTAGAACATCCTCTTAAATCTAATTCATTTGTTCATTTTATTTTGACTACCACAATACAGATTGGGCGGAACCAGGAGTGGTTCAGTTTAGACCCTCAAATTCGGTTCTAGTACGTTTCACCAATTAGGCCTTTAATGGCTGTCGCTGGGATAAAGCCGAAGTAGTTTGCTTAGTTGTGAACGTTTTGAGGAAGTTGCATTGGATTCATTGAATGTGCGTTTACAGAAGTTATAGAGCATATAAGTTGAGTCATTGCAATGTTGGTGGCTACAGGAGGAATGTAGATACCACATTTTTCCCCACCACATATTTTGGTTATTTTCATCGTTTGAATTTCATAAAGTCATCAATGATTGCAATGAAGGGTTCCAAATCCACACCAAATGTGAAATTTCATCATTTCTTAACATTTTCAAAGTATTTTCACAATTGGATTGTGTTATGAAATCATGATCGAATAGGAGTTTATGAAAATAAAGAGAAAAATTAATGACAAGAAATTAAAATGGCACACACATAAACGAGACAATGATTTATGTGGTTCGGCTATGCCTACGTCCATGGGGAGAAAATAGAACAATATTTCACTATAGAAATAAAGAGATACAAGGCAAAGTGGCTCACACTCAAAACCCAATTACACTCAAAACTCTCCCACTCTCTAACTGATATCACAAACATACAAGTGATGATTTCAGATGCCATAAACCAGGTGGAGCAAAAGCTATTTATAGCCAAACAATTGGTTACCAAAAATATGCTTGTTGATCAAGTATATCAAAGACTGAAGCTGCTAACATTTCAATCTTGCTGACCACGCCAATGCTTGTTGATAACACAAACTCGGGTGGCAATGTGCTGATTTAAGCCATGATGTATTGAGCCACAATATTCAACAAATCTCCACCTTGGCGAAAAATACAAATGAGCCATTATATCTCTGCTAAACAACGTGTCTTCTCCACAAAACAAATTAATTAAGAATTTTAGTTAAGTTTGAGTCATCCTCAAACTTAACCCTCTGGCTCTCATTCTTCAATACATGCATGTCTTGAGCAACCACAAACATATCTCCAGTATTTCTATTAAACTCTAAACGCTTATCAAAAACACCCTCAGAAATTCCAAGTTTGACATCTCCTTCAGCAACCTTCTCCAACCGCCCACAAACCACCGGCTGGTAATGAAAAGTCATCTTTTCACCCTTGTGGAGAATAGGACGTCCCTGACTTTTTCTTACACCTCTATTGTAACCAACTACTTGCCTCCCACACATCTTAATGACACTCAAATGGACTATCTCATTGCCACCAAGATTATTGCAAGTCAATATCACACCTGTCCTCACAGGTCTGCCCCCTTATAAGGACTACTGCAATTTCAGTTGCCATCTGAAAACGGATTTCATTCTCCCACCACATTGTGCAATCCCCTTATAACCTTTTTGAGAACTAGGATCGTAACTCCTCTTTCTAACTCTTCCTTTGCCAAGACCTGAATGCAGATTTCTGTGAACTGTAGAAAATTAAGTAGCAGCTCCACCTGTGTTACTGTATTCCCTTGGAGAAGATACAAAATTTTCACCTTGGTGCCTTGTAGCACCACAAGAGAATCCATCACGACCATCATTACTCCGCCTTCTGTTTTAACCTTATAACCTTTGGAGTTTAGCACACCTACTGAAATAAGATTCATCTTCAGATCCAGTACATGTCGCACATCTGACAATGTTCTCACCAACCCATTATGCGTCTTAGTCTTGACTGTTCCAATTCCCCAAATTTTGAAAGCTTTCCTGTCCGCCGTCAAAATCGAACCACATTTTACCTCTTTATAGGAAGAGAAAGAATCCCTACTGGGACACATATGAACGGAACAACCAGAATCAAGAATCCAACTGTCATTAAATGACATACCTGAACACAAAGTTATCATGAGAAGATATTCGTCACTTTCAAAATCACTCGTTGTAGCAGTTGGCACAAAAATTGTTTCCTGAACCTTCTCTTTGCCATTCCCATTCTTTGCCTTTAGTTTGGGATAATGCTTGATGATGTGCCCTATTTCGTGACAGTAGTAACATTCCACATTTTTATGTATCTATATTTGCCCTTGCTACCAGAACCCTTTATCTCACTTTTGCCTCTTACAAATAGACCATCGGCCTGTTCATCTCCAATATTCCCAGACACCTTTTTTCTCAACTCCTTAGAGTTCAATGAGGATTTAATATCCTCCATACTAATAGTGTCTTTTCCATATAGCAATGTGGTAACAAAATGCTCATAGGAAGGAGGCAAAGAACACAACAAAATAAGGGCTTTATCCTTGTCATCAATTTTAATATCAGTATTTTTCAAATCCATAATAATAGAATTGAAATTATCAATATGCACCTTAAGAGGCATACCTTCTTTCATACGAAGGGTGTAGAGTCTCTGTTTCAGGTAGAGTCTATTGGTGAGAGACTTCGTCATATACTGATTCTCTAATTTTAGTCATAACTTTACCGCCGTGTCTTCATCAATAACTTCACGCAGCACCTCATTAGCTTGATTCAAAAGAATTGTATTGTGCGCCTTTTTATCGACCTCATCTGTGATACCCGCGGATTTCCGGATCCGGGTTGGCCAGGCCCACGCCCGATTACCCGAGGATATCATACCAATTAGTAATAAATGAACACATAATTCAATTAAGGAAACAGGAATAAATAAAAATTTGCTGAAAATAAACTAGAATGATAAACCAAATACTGAAACCTCAGAATAAAATTAAATTAATAAAGAATTATTCTGATACATCCAAATTCTCCATTTCTAATAAAACTCGGGAATCCATCTGGTGGACCCTTAATAAAATCATCACTGAGAAATGAATCACCGGAAAAGAATCCAATGCTAAACCATACAGGAACTGCCTACATCGTCGGAAGAATGAGAAGTCGTTTCTGCTCAGCACGAACAAGATCTAAGACCTAAAACCGTCCGTTACCTGAAAAATAATAGTGGGTCAGGCTCACGAACAAGTTCTATCCTAACTACAATCCAAACAAAGACCCGATACGTAGATACATCCTAGATGTCTCAACCATATCTATATAGTCCGTAAATAGATATATACATATAACCACACTACAAGACTCTCACTAAACTATGCTGAGGGTCTCAACCTGAATAGAAGGCAACATGCAATACACACCTGAGTGGGCATGACTACCTAAGCCTAACAGGGTATGCCCCAACCAACATAGCTAGCTACGCATCCTACTGCATATACGCACCCTAACCATCGACTATGAGACTCAAGCTCTGATCGCGGTACCATAACTTATATATATAAATTCCTATCCAAACCAATGTAGTGCCGCTCAACTGTTCGTTGCCATGACACGACATAAAATTAGGATTTAAACGTTTTAGTTAAAACCCTATCATTCCTAATACAGAAATATAAACAATCATTCAGTATGTCGTTCAACTATGTTAGTTGACAGGACATGAAACCGTGTAGAATTTAACTGTTTTAGTTAATCCATTCCGTATGTATGAATGGGTAGGAATTAGCATTGTGACCTAATCCATCCCTCCGTATGACACCGTCCCATACCGGTGCATACATGCAAATGATCCGTAAATGATGCAACATCTAAGCAGTACATCAAATAAAGTCCACAGTATCCATATAATTAATAAACACATAATTTAAACAAGTCATCAACTAAAAATTCAGAATCCATCCATGTAATTAAACGAGACAAAGTTTACAAATTTGTCAAGTTAAATTCCAGCATCCATCCAGGTAATTGACAGAAAATATACACTTATTTCTTCAATTAATTCCAGGCCAACGTCTAATTAGATTGGCAGAACCTAAGTACAAGTCCAACAAATAAAGTCCATACCCTAATCCAAATAATTACAGTGTAATGCTTAATATTACAACAATTTAAAATTCCAAGCTTAAATTTATGCATTACAGAAAAGTATTTAGTATTTCAACAATTAACATCCAGGATATGCATAGACCAAACTTGTTAATTAAGTGATCCTAACATACAACCACAATAAGAGTTACAAATATATACATACTC